ATTTTATCGATTTTTTTGCAAAGTTTGAGCTACGGGGCTGGGAGTTGGCACAGGGAGGTAATCGAGCATGGGGATTCCGAATACAATATTGGTTTTCGAAATTATCGAACTTTTATCGATTTTATCGATTTTTTTGCAAAGTTTGAGCTAGGGGGCTGGGAGTTGGCACAGGGGGGTAATCGAGCATGCTGATCACCCCCCTTGGGGATGATCAGCATGCTCGATCACCCCCCTGTGCAAACTCCCAGCCCCGCAGGTCAAACTTTACAAAAAAATCGATAAAATCGATAAAAGTAATGGACGATCCTGAAAACTAATATTGTGTTCGTAATCAGCATGCTCGATTACCCCCCTGTGCAAAATCCCAGCCTCGCATGTCAAAATTTACAAAAAATCGATAAAATCAATAAAAGTAATCGATAATTCTGAAAACTAATATTGTATTCGGAATCCCCATGCCCACTTCCCCCCCCCCCTGTGCCAACTCCTAGCCCTGTAGGTGAACTCTGCAAAAAATCGATAAAAATCGGTAAAATCGACATCGATCGATAACGAAAAGTGGACTGTGACACCCGCCGGGGCCCGAAGTATATGTGTGCCAAGTTTGGTCCGGATACGGCGGAGCCGGGTAAGCCAGCTAGTTAGGTTGTAAAGAAAGTTCCCGGGCACTTGCTAAAATTTTTTTCAAATTGCTTTGAGCAGATTGATTTTTTTTTGAAGTTACAAACTTCATTGCAAAGACAATTTTGTCCTCAACATACATTTGTCTTGCTGGCTTCTCAGTACCTCAGTGCGGTCCATCAGCATGCCAGAAGGGAAAAAGGTCGTCGCTATCTGTGCAGCATTATCTCAGGCACGATGAAAGCTGGAGAGTTCAAATGTTGTAATTATTTGGCAGTCTGCTGGAGCTCTAATAGGGGCCGTTCATGTTTTTGCAGGACCACCTGCAAAATTTTTTTTCCAGAAAGTTTGAAAAAGCGACCATTTTTTGCCCCTAAAAAAGCACCATTTTTCGAGTAAATGACTTTGAAGTCTTGTCGTTCTGCATAGGGTGAACCAAATCTTTGATTACTGCGAATATTGTCGGAGTAATGCCTTGCACATTTTTTGGACCCATCATCGAGGCGTGGCGATTTCCGCAGAAGCGACGCCAGCTGCGAAATGAGTTGTAGTCTGAGGCAAGTTTGACAGCTTACAATTTCTGAGCGCAAAACTCGAGTGCAGCTGGTGTCAGAAGTTAACAGGCTCCTCTCAATCAGATCACCCATGATTTGGACGGAATTCTTTGAAATGCACAGAAGAATGGGCGCAGGAAGAAACATTGCGGGATTTTTATGGTCGGAAAGATTTCCTTTCTTGATGTGCAGGTCAAACACGTCTTGGCATCGATAAAAATCACAAGCAGTATTGAAAACCTTAGGCTTTCCTCTACTGAACAGTATAAAAAACTTGGTGTCAAAGTCCGATCGAAATGAAATTTCTAAAAGTGCCCGGGAACATAATTTACAACCTAATATTAGAGGATGTACAAAAAGCTGGAAAATGCGGTGTACAGCTTCTTGCTCACGCTTGATATGTTCTTAGTGAAGGACGGTGGGGATACTTAAGGATGGGTAGGCAGCGTGAAATCCACATATTTGGAGCATCAGGATATGAAGCTTCCTCTTAAGCTGCGGCCCTCTCCCCAGCAGGGATGTTAGCGCATGCGGCCCTTAGAAGAAAGCTTTATATCCTGAAACTCCAGCGCTTTGGATTTCATGTGTCTAACTACCCACAAGTGCTTTTACAATACTTCACTGCAATGATATAAGGAGCGAGAAGTAAGGGTGCCTTCATACCGCGCCGGCAGCCGCCGCTAGGAGCCCATAGCAGCCCGTAGCAGCCGCCAGCAGCCCGTAGCCGCCGCTGGCCACTTTCGTTATCATATGCAAAACCGTCAGATTCTTACTACTTAGATTGTATCCGTCCTTCGTATCTTTAGCGTTTTCTTGGTGTTGCCGCAAGCATGTAGTTTCATCAAAAATTAGACAAATAGCATACCTGCAGAAACTGGACGCATCCAGAGTTGGAAGAACTCACCTCGCGAATAAACTCGGCGAACTTGCTAAGTAGTGACTGCAATATAGATAAGCACCGATAGCAAAGGAAAAGATTGAAGCAGAACCATATTTAAAAATTAAACAAATAAAACAAACAGAAACTGGACGCATCCAAAGTGAAGGGAAATCACACCGCGATGAAACTTTGGCGGTTCTATGGTTCATTTACTAGAAAAATTGAGCACCACTAAGATAACCAATCTACGGCAACAAGATAATGACAAAAATGGAAACAAGTATAGCAGTAGCAGTCTCTAATTTTTGAGATCGAAGTACATACGGTAGGCAGCAGGAAGAAAAAAGAGTGGAAGGTGAAAAGCATAGGCGGCGATGATTTTGTGTGTGATAACATCAGCGGCGGCTACGGGCTGCTACGGGCTGCTGGCGGCTGCTACTTGCTGTTATGGGCTGCTAGCGGCGGCTGCGAGCGCGGTATGAAGGCACCCTGACCCAGACATTGCCGGGGGCAGGCGGGCGCTGGAAAATACGCGTTGCTGACAATTTGCATTCCGCTCGCAAATTCCAGGAAAATGCTCAGCGAGTTTTTGGGAGACCGCCTGTTGAATTTTTTCGCTCTTATCTTTTGCGGATATATTGCTGAATCTCTAAGGAATCGAGAACTCAGCAAGCGCCGTTCCGAAAAGTCTTGATCGCTTCTCAAAAAATCCGCGAGCGGGGTGCGAGAAGAAGCCAGAAGGCTCCTCGCACCTTCGCGTATGAATGCTGGTGCGAATGGAGGTGCTAGGAACTCCTGCGTCCCATCTGAGATCCCCGGCGATCCAACTGTCTTTTTTTTTTGGGAGCACTTTTCTCCCTTCGATCAATAAAAACATCCAAAGTCGGACGCTATCTAACCCAATGGTTTTAAGCATGTTCTTGGTAAGAACCAATGGCTTATCAATGTATTGGAGTTTTCTATAATCCCCAATATTTAACAGAGATCAAATCCCGCCCCGCACCACTCCTTCACTGGTCTCATTCGGAGCCTACGGCCTGGGGAATAGCATAGACATGCAACAAAAATTCATGAAAATTCATCATCTTGCCAGGCAATTGGCAATTCCTAATTATTGCACTTTACAAGCAAAGACACTTTGAAACCCCCCAAAAAAACCTTATAGTACTCTTGATAAATAGTGAATATATTTTTGGTTTGAAACTGTGTTTTGTGAAGAAAATGCGTTGATAAGTTGATTTTCACTGCAAAGGATTTTCACGGTTTTTGTTTCCGCATTACCATAGATTAAAGCTTGCAAAACGTACGGAGCAATGCTATGAACGTTTCAAAGATTTTTTGAGGATAACTATCGCCATTTTTCACTACCACTACCACTTTGGCACTATTTACAAAGACTCAAGACGAAATTTGCAGTGCAATCTTTGCAAACTTGTTTCTCTGAGGTGTCAACAAAAAGATGAATTGGGATAACCGTCTCGCAAAACTCACTTCTTTTTCTGAAGAAGCCATGAACTTAGGTTTAAACCTTAGTAAGTGATTGAATTTTCTTTGATTTAGGCGAGAACTTTGGCAGACCTATATAATAGGTCAGAATCGTTTTGGCATGCTAACAGAAAATTTACAAAATTTCAGCTGATAATCATTATCAACAAATCTCTCCAAAAAAGGTCTTTCTTATCATTCATTATCTTGAAAAGCACCAAAACATGAATTCAAAAAAATAAATTTCAGTATTGGAAACGCACTCAAACTCTATGAAAAAGTTGCTTAGAATTGATGAAAGGCTCAAATTATTCGGTTAATAAGTCAAGATCTAGCTTCAAAACCGTTCTGAACCGCAGTAAGTCAAATTCCGCTTATTCTGGATAGATTCTGTGGTTTGATTTGATAGAGCACAGCAAGCTCTACAAGGTAGTGCCTGAAAGTTGCATCAAATTTGATTAGCGAGAATTTGTAGCCAAAAACTAGAAAAATCCAACTGCCCGAAAATCCGAAAAAATTACTTCATCAAAAATTGCACTTGTGCAACTTGCTCAATGGATATGTTTTCATATCAGAAATACCTACATATACATTTTCTGGCTGAAAGTCGAGAAAAAGGAAGTATCTTTGGTTCTGACAAAGCGATGCCCACAACTAGACTTCATAACTGCTCATCCGTCACCTTCCATCCGTCATTATTCATCCATTTAGCAGAACACATTGAGACTATTCTCCAGGCCTGCACAACTCGAAATGGCCGTCTGAAAGGTGCGAAGGCCCCTTGGGGGTGCTAACTAATCCTGCAAGGAAAGGCGGCGAGGCTTTGGGTAACAGGAATGGTTATAGTTGGACAAGCAGTGATATCTAGATATCTGAAGCTTCCGAATGTAAAGCTTCTTTCAATCTGCGTTCCCCTACTCAGCAGGATTGTTGCAAGCAGCCCTTAGTGAGAAGGGACCAAGGGAGAGGATTGTACCCGGTTACTTTGTGCCGCATTTTGTGAACCGCTATAAGTCTGCAGTTAGTAGTTTGAGTTTACCAATGAGACTATCTGTTCAAAGCTTCCACATACCAGATTTTTTTGCTGATAATTTTAGTATTTAGAGCTGGGCTTGTCCAGTAGCTGCAGTACCATCTGGATTGGCGGCTCAACTTCCAGCTACAAAGGTTCCTGGACTGATGGCACACGTTTTGACTACTCTTTCTGGGCAACTGGTACTTTTTTGCAGTTGCTCGTAATTTCTCATACTGCAAAAAAGTAGAACACGACGGAACTTTGAAGAGGGGGTTGAACCTCATACTGTTTGGCTTTCTGTTTATCTGCTTCTGTGATATCTAACATTGTAGGTGAACCATATTATAGTAACACCGTTTACATCTATGTAGATCCGAATACAGGTACGATGCATTATTGATCATGAACTCACTATATGTTGTAAAAACTTCACACATATCGAGGTTTCTGGAAAACTGATGGTTCCACGAGGTCTGTACCCTGCTTCGCATGTGAAGTACCTCAGGAAATGACAGACTGTGCTGACTGGTACAAAGCGGGTTACAAAGAGTGAGCGTATGTTATTGATTTTGAATTTAACATTTGAGGTTCAACTTTTCAGCAGCGGAGTATACAGCATCTCGCTCAATGGAACTTCGCACAATGTTTATTGCAGCATGGATAATGGCGGTGGATGGACAGTCTTCCAAAAGTAATTCTCTTGAGAAAGCGCACTGCACTTATCTTTGAGCCAATGAGCTTTTATGCTGAATCGAAAGCTGCATTCACAGCTTTTGAGGACTGCAACTACTTGCTTTAACCCTTAAGTTTGATGTTAGAAGAAAAATGCCGGAAGGCGACTCTCTGATGAGCGGTTGCTATTTTTTTTCACATGCATCTTACTATATTTCCATTCCTTCGAACCTAAGTGGGATCGGTATATCGCCTTCTTCAGAGTCTGAAATTATCGAATGCATAAGTAATAAGTATATAAGAAAATAAGAGTTCAGTTACTGGTATAGTGATCTGCAATACCACTTTGTCGGCATCTGTTTAGGTAAGCATTAGTTTAATCCTGCATTCACTTTCGAGTTCTTGGTTCACTCACGCATTGTTCGTCTTCCTGAGTCTTGAGGCGGTTTTTGATAGGATAGTTGACTTATGCATTCGATAGTTTCAGACTCTGAAGAAGGCGATACCGCCGAAACGTTAGTCGAATAAAGGATATACCAATCCCGGTGTTCAGCTAAACAAGCCACAACAAGCATCTGCAACATGCCGAGATTAATCGAGAGTCGAACTTGGACAATAATAAGTGGGATCATTCCATCCATATTTGACACTACAGACACGTTTATGTGTCTCAAACTTAGCACATTTCTCTTTGCGCGAATGAAGTTTGAACCAAGAAATTTGCATAAACTGTTGGACTGATTTTAGTCGTGTAAACAATAACGGATCCTTTTGGGATAGATCATGGGACGACTACAAAAATGGCTTCAACACAGAACGAATGACTAATGTAATCTTTCAAACAGTCTCAAAAGATTGAAGTACAGCAAGTAATTGCAGGTTTCCAACTTTTGGTTAGGACTCGAGTTATTACATCAGCTGACAGAAAAAGACAAAGATGTAACATTGAGAGTGGAAATGATGGGAGATCGGACTCCAGGATCTTCCAAAGCATTGTCGTCTTGGTCCAATGAGTACACGAGATTCAAGGTTTGTAAATTGAGGTTATTTCACTAATAAAGCTAACCACAATTGCAAGCTAACATATCCAGCTCCCCCCTCCCCCCTTTGTCAATAAATTATATTATCATTCAACACTTGAATCCACTTCTGGTAGTACCTCTGCTCTAATGCCAAAACCTCGACATAAATGATCAGTAAATTAGTCGATGCTAACCCATTAGTGATACTTCTGTAATGTTCATGATTATCCGTGTGTGCCTGTGCCATTTTAGCTTGCCACAGTACATAAGTCATAATTTTATAGAGACATTTGATGTCTGTATATTTTTATCATGTTTGTGACCAGCATATGAGCTGCCCTATCGGTTCGAAAACGTTATACTTCCATTATCAGGACGCTGAGCCCAATCCCAGCCCTGCAGCTTACCGTTTGCTAGAAAAAATAAATTGTGATTTTTTAGACGAAGTAGCCTATACTAGCACTTTCTCTAGTAGTTATATATGAAAAATTTTGGTCGATTCAGAGCAGAAATATTACATTGGCTACCACATAAATTCGTTTTGACATCCAATTTCAAAGCTCCACAACATTTGAGATAGCAGATATTTTTGAGACTTTCTTACATTCCTAGATTGATATGTAACTTTTCTACAAGCCGTTAAAGAAAACCGAACTTATTTTTTAACCTGATAATAATCTCTATTTTGGTTGTACGCATATTTATATTAGGAAAAGAATTGATGGGACATCAAGCCCTATATATTTAGTCCCTTCAAAAGTATTTCCCACCTGGACGAAGCACTGTTCGCAGAAAAGCAATAATAAGATGCTTTTAACGTAGCATTTCTTCTCCTTTCCAGTGTGCTTTGAAAGAGAACTTTTTTGACTGGAATGCAGATGGCTGCAGGAAAGCACCTTTACATTTGTTTAGTTCGCCCTAATTTGTCATTTTGCGTATTGAGTTTATATCAAAACGGGATATCAACAGGAGAAAAGGAAACCTGACGCTTTGATTGTCGCTGATGGTCTACGCACAAACTCCTGCTCGATAAGCATAACTGACCTTTCAGAATTACTCAATCTGAAATGAAACAAAAAAGCTTTCAAAAAACAAAGAATAAAAGCCCTAATATTATGTAATCACTGTATAAGCTATTTTTCCCAAGAATCCGTCTTCGAGCCGATTCATAGGTTCCAACTTTTGCAATAGAATTTGTGTACTCGCTTTTTGCATACGGTCAATCAAATTGTAAACTTAGGTAGCAGGAAAATCGTCCAAGTTTCAACTGACAGACTTGTATCTGGACAACCAGGGGAAGGGCACAAGTATATGGTACCACGATTTTTTATTAATTTGCCAACGACTGATAAACTAATGTGGTCACTTTAATTTAGGAACTCTTTGATATATTCTGTTGGCGCAAATTTCTCTGCGGTGGATCATATCAATGATCCTCAGTCGAACTGTGTGTGGCAATATAAAATGGGGTGAGTTTGTGGCATTTTATTTTAGGTTGTTACAAAAGTGCTGATTTTGTGACCTTAGCGGCTGTTTTTCTTAATGTGTGCTAGAAAACTCAACTTGAGGATTTACTCTCGTGCATTATTTCGATCTAAACTCATTCGCCTAAAAAAGCTCTTTTAAAACTATAAACTGGTGTTAAAGAAGTGACAAGTTACACAGCAGGGAATCCATGTAACATTCGCACTAAAAATCGAACATGATACACTCCATGACATAATTTTTTTTTCTTGAAAAAAAAACAAATAATCAAAACAAACAACAAACAGTCACAACACTCAACAAACATCGGAGACAACAGGATGATAAAATCTCATCCTATAAGAGTGAAATCAAGACTGTCACAATTTGTGACTATTGTTAAACTGACCGTACTACCTCTATAAGAATTAGAGAACTCCGTACTTTAGAATTTCATTAATTGCAAAGAAAACGAAAATTTAAAAGCTAACTTTTTGATTGGAGTCTATTTTTTAATTTGCGAAAAATTTTGGAAAGTCCCTTTTAGCTAATCAGGCCAGCTAATTGCATCTCGGAAGAACTTGATAATCTGTCAAAGTAGAATTTTGAAGAAAAAATGTCATGGTCTTTTATAAGTTGTTTAAAGCTGATACCTACAAAATTTGCAGGATCGGCAGCGATCCACTGACAAAGACATTATACTTTGAAATATCAACTTTTATTGGAATTGCAAAGTGCGATGCATTACTTTGTTACAACCTAACAGAAAGTCCATGATTGTTGAAATAGATGACGGTAGAGGCTGCTCTTCTTTTGTAGAAAAAAGTAAACTTTAAGAGGATGGTGGTTACGCAACTGTGCCCTCTCGTCATTGAATGGTGATTACGATTTTACTGAAGCAAACGGATACGGTAAGTGATGCTCTGCTTTGTTTCACAAGCAGAGCGCTGCCTTTCGAAGCATTTCTTTGATAACTGATTTGTGATCCCCTACTTCCAGGAATGTTTTGGATCATAGGTGGAACAGATAACATCATTCATCCCGTCTCAACCAGAATGATGCTCAGACCTACGTCTTTTTCAACTTGAACTGATTAGTTTGCGTCAGCGTCTGATATTACTGATCCACGCAATAAAGTTTGGCATTTTAATTAACAAAATCCGTTGTACAGTAATTCTTATAAAAGCATAGAAAATAAGAAAGAAAGGATCATGAGGAAGCAAAGGGAAATGCACGTGATTTAGATGAACATCAATTTTTTTAGCAAATCGTGAACAGCTTATATCAATATCATCAGGGGCTTCTAATGCAGATGTAAGACCACATAACCTTTATTCTCCAGTAAAGGACAAATTCAAATTTTTTGATGGGAGGAGAGGGGAGGGAAGGTGAGGTGAGTAGGATGCTATTATGAGAAAGTAGGGCAGGTGCGAAAAGGGGCCGAATGGTCATGCTAGCCATTACACTATATGTGACTACAGGCAGATACCATGATGTATGATCATGTGAGCTTGCACACAACGCGCGGCGATCAACGGCAGCTTCATCAGTAACTTCTTAGTAAAGCCTTTTGCTGCATAATGAACTCAAAAGCATGTAGTATCGACTGATACAGGCCCAAACGAATTGAATAGACAAGGAAACAAAAAGAAATCACTGGAAATGAGCAGGTTCTATTTTTACGAGTTCGTTAAAGAGCGCGTATGTTGTGCAATACGCATTTTAAGTCACGAAGGATTTGAGAATACACAGAAGCCTTTTGAGTACTTGTCTCGTCCTTGCGGTTCAGAATCTTTTTAGGAATGGGGGAGAGAAGCAGAAGAAACAGGGAAAAAATAGTTTTGGAAATTATTTGCGAGCTTGCCCTGGAAAAAAGGAAAAAGTGTGATCTCATTGTAATTGTTATGCCCCCTTCGCCTTTGAAGCCAAAAGCTGCACAGAGGTGTTAAAATGAATGCCTCTGTGCTTTAAGTTTTTTACCATGAATTCCATTCTCAGAATTTTGGTTTTATTCAATCCTTTTCTCAGAACAGATGACACAGATTAATTTGATGAAAAGTTGGTGGGAACATTCGTTCGCGAGGGCAGGATGTCGCTGCCAGACCATGTTCAAAATGCGATAGCTTCTCACCAGAGTTGGTGCCATCCTTTTCATTATATCTACTGCATTTTCGAGCAAGTGAAAAATCGACTTCATATCTTACTTTCAATTGTGAGCGTAGTTATAGTTTACGGTAATTCAAACGCATACAGTCGGTGTCAACGATGTGCTCCCTTGCCAATCACCTCAAGAGTAACGGTGGAACTCTGTGCCGCATTCGCGGATGTACCGCTTGAGCGTTCAAATCTATCGCATCAGTCGTAGATCGTGTCGACGCGCTGCCTGTCGTAGACGACACGGAAAAGGGAGCACGTGATTGACATCGACCGCATGTATACTTTGTTCTTGAAAGTCTGCAGAACAGCAGAGTCTGATATAACCCAGTTTTATATGGAGTGTGCTGAGAGTACAGTCAATCTTTGTTCGTCTTACTATAAGTTCAAAAAAAGTGTGAATGGTCTCCAGAAATTGCCTCATTTGATCCACATTTTGCTCGATCGTGACTGCGTGCCTCTCGTTTTGATAGATTCGGCGCTGTTCGGGTATGCGGGCCCCAAATTTCTTTTGTCATGGGTTTCGCTAAAACTTGGCTCAAAGGGCTTATATGACATGCTGATCACGAATACACCTTTTTCCCGCGCGAGGACGCCTCCGTGTGCGGTTACGGTGTGTATACGTATCGTGTCAATATCGTGGATTTCTTTCAAAATCGGTGTAGGGGGATTGTTCAACCCGCTGATGCCGAATATTATGATTATTTCGTACGGTGGCTATCATTTTCTGGGGCTACGGTCAGTACACAGTAGGAAGTCAAAACCATGGATTTTGCTGAAACTTGGCTTAGGGGATCTATTCGTAAGCTAATCACGAAAATCGGTACTATTCCACTTATTACAACCCAAAAATTGAAAATCACGGATTTGGCTCAAAGGGGTTACTCGACCTCTTTCCTGATTACGAAAATGACATCTAATTTGCATGGTGAGGCTTTCTTTGAGGGGTCACGGTAGGCATACGGTATGGTGCTAAAATCTCATATTTCGCTAAAACTTTGCGTAGGGGGGTTATTCGACATATCGACCACCAATATCATACTCATTCCTCTCGAAAACGCCTTATGGTGGGGTTACAGTAGGATTATGGTATGGAGTCAGGATCTCAGAAGCTAAAACTTTGCGTAGTGGTATTTTACATGTTGATCGCAAGTACCACTCTTTTCCCGCACGAGAACCTCTCCTTGTACAGTTACGGTAGGTATATGGTAAGGGGTCAAAACCGTAGATCTGCCTGAAACTTTGTGCAGGGGTGTACTGATGTACTGATGTACTGATCACGAATACCGCGCTCATTTTGCTTGAACTCTTCGTGGATTTTGGAACTTGATTGAGCTAAAAAGCGGGAAAGAGGCTTTTCTAAGCGCAAAATTGCCATAACTCCACAACGAAGCGTTGTTATAGCGAGCAAGAGTGATATTCGTTATCAGCATGCTTGAAAATCCCTCTAAACAACTTTTGAGCAATTATGAAATTTTCACCCGTGTACCGTGTACCTACCGTGACTCGGGAAAATGGCGCTACCGTACAAAATCAATATGATATCCATGTTCAGCATGCTAAATAACCCCTCGAGACCGAATTCCAGCTAAATCTAGGTTTTGATTCCTCCGCACACATACCGTAGTCATACAAGGAGAGGTTTTCGTGCGGGAAAAGTGTGTTATTCGTGATCAGCATGTCGAATAACCCCCGCCCCCCTCTCCTTCAAAACCTCAGAATTCGCAAGGTTTTTGCGAATTCTGAGGTTTTGTCCTCATACCGTCTGCCTACCGTATCCCTCAAAAAAACCCACCACGCGAAATGGACATCACTTTCGTAATCAGCAGGTCGAATTACCCCCTGGGCGAGTTTTCATCGAAATCCGTGGTTTTCAATTTTTGGGTTGTTGCGCCTGAAAATCATACTCTTTTCGCATGATGAGGCCTTTTTATGAAGTTACTGTAAATTTACGGTAGGGGGCAAGAATGACAAACTTGCCTGAAACTTTGCTTTCGGTGTTGGGTATAGACCGTCATGCCTTTCATACAGGGCCATCGTCACACGCGACGCACTCTGCGGCGGCTTTGCCTAAGCAAACGCAGGGGAAGAAGATTTGCCTCGCACCGTACACCCTACCGTTACCTATCAATATCCATGAAGAAACACATCTTCGTGAGGTAAAACGAGATATCCATGATCAGCTTGTCAAATTACTCCCCTTTATGCCAAGTTCCAGGCAAATCCACGATTTTCATCCTTTGCCTGTACCCACCGTGACCCCCAAAAAATGGCGCTACCATACAGAACCAGTAGGATATCTTTGATCAGCTGGCCAATAACGCCCTGAGTTAAGTTTTAGCAAAATCCATGACGAAAAAATTTTGGGACCCGGACAGCAGAATAGCACCGAAGTTTTTATAAAATCAAGCCTATGTTAAAGATGTCGGGGACACCGCGAAAAGTCCCTCGAATTATATACGAATTATAGCCAAATCCGCGAGAGCTGTAAAGACATCTGCTGTTATCAATAGTAAATTCCAATCAGTAGTTTAAGTGTTGATGAACTCGCTGTTGCTTGAGTTTTATTTTATAGGCTCCCAGTCTGAAGATTTAGAAGCTAGCGAAAATATTCTTTTATTAGCGAATGAAATTGGTGACGATCATGAACAACTTCTTGTACGAGAAGGAGTTGTTGTTGCACTGCAGCAGCCCAAGGCGTTTTTGAAGACAAATTGACCGGCTGCTTTGGTAAAGGCAATTATGCCGGCGATATCAAAGTACCTTGTTTCTCCTGCAAAGTTCGCCAGAAGATTGTGTCAAAGTCGGTAAATTCAGGTGTACTTTGGTTAATTACGTCTTTCCTCGCAATGATGTGGATTTGATTGTGATCGACACGGCTGATGAACAAAAAAGAAAAGAGAAAGTTAATGAGGTTGGCCAAAATTTAGCTGTTAAGTCATGCGTTGCTAATTGTTTAGGAGCAATCTTCATATTCCGTAGCTTTGGTCAAACAAAATTATATAGCTGCGTTCTCTTTCAAAACGGCTAAGATGACAGGATGAATCCGATAGCAGAGATAGAAAGGAAGCGACATGTCTAGGTCATTATACGGGAGAAAACGCCGGCAAAGAAGTATACATTCGGATCTTATGACTTAATCAGGTCGTTACTATAATGTTGATCTTGGAATGTAGGTATGCGGAATATTGGCCATTTTCTGATTTGAGAATATGATCAACAAAAGCTGACGATTGAGCAAGATTGCACCGATTCTAATAATGTAAGCATATCCCTATGCATAGTACAAGCGAATCCTGAGAACGACTGCCAGCCTTGTATCGATTCCAAAGGTTTCACAACACAATGGGATGTAACCAGCAAAAACATTGGTAGCATCAGTACTAAAAAGCAACCGTTTCTTATAAGCTTCTTATATTCAAAGCTTATAAAATCTGAATAGTGAAAAAAGTAAAGTTTTTGCTTCGGTACTCTCCTAACCATGAGATTAACATAACATCCTCCAAACTCAAATGCACAACAATTACAAACATAATCTCTGAACTCAGACATTGATAAGTTGTTAGATGTGCAAATGCACGCGATAGCCTAAACTAAGGCCATGCATTTGCGATCGGCGATTTGATCGTCGCGGTTTGATCGCCCAATCCATCGAAATCGCGGCGACCAAATCGCGTGAACTCTGCCCGAGGCCTATGGTATATCACAAGAACGTAGGATCAGCTTAACGTCAATTTCTTCAGAATCCCTTGTTTATTTTATTGTACTCCCTTTTCCATCAGTGATAACGGTAGATTGTAAAATGGGACCAGAAATAACTATCCATGTTGATGCTAGGTGACCCTACCGTGTTTCTTTATATAGGGGTAATAGCTCAATGAAAGAATCACAAAAGAAAATTTGATTCCACGCTTTAAGCAATGAAAAATCTTTGTCAAATGCTTCGAGGCTTCAGATTTCTTTTTTTGCAAAAAGAATTTTAGAACTTG